AAACTTTTGAAATATTACGTTTTAAATGCACTGAAGCATCGCAAACCAAAACCACAAAAGAAGAGGTTAGCCAAAAGCATAGTAATGATAAGAATTTGAATCAAATTTTTTTTGTTTCTTTATTACTTTAGGTACCTATTTCGTTCATTCAAAGCGACGAAGTTTTTCCAAACCACAACTCTGGACTGGGTGGAAGCTGGCTTGCAAGTTTGCCGACAGGGCTATATCATGCTTAATTTACTGATTCATCGTAAAAACTGTTACTATTTCGTAAATCAAGCGCGTTAGCGAATAGTTCTTGAGACGTTGAATCATTTGCAGTTCAGCCACAAAGTAAGAGGTGTCGTTACAGGGATTTAGTAACACCTCCACGGCCAAAAGAGGCTGCACACAGTAGCTAATCGAGTTATGTAATGGTTACGAGAAGATAAATGACTAGTGCTTAAAATATCCTTCACACCGTTAAATTTGTCACGTATTTTTCCCATATGTTTCAATGTCATCATAGCAACCGATATAATATATGCCCATAAGAAATTGGTTGGAGGTAAATTTTTCGACAATAACGCAAGTACGTTCAAACATATGAGATTGCTCAGCGCTAATTTCACCACCGATTTCAAAATTGTTCATAACCATTGCGACTATTTGCATAATCCAATATATCAATGAAGCCACTGCATTAGGTAGTATGGCTTCTTCTGGCTTGTTTCTACAAGTTACACCCTCCAAAATACCCTCGAGAAATTCCAGCAATGCTGTGATACAATAGACACGATCGAAATGGTCATATTTCGATATCCGCCGTAAAACGGCCGCATGCGAGACCAAGTTTGCACAAAGGCAATGTTTTAAATAGTTCAAAATTAACGGATTAGCATTAGAACCGACCAAGGATTGCTGCAGGATACAATTAGCTAAGTTATAGGCATCTCCACTTACTCCTCGAGGAAGTACCCGTTTAATGTTGATTCCCCAGAGGGCTACATTCCAGCGTTCGCGCCAAGCGCGCAAAATCATCAACTTCAATAAACTGGTTTTACTTGGCTTTTGTAATTCCATATTATCTTTGATTAAAAATAGGGTTAATAAACACTTCACTCCTCTAAAACATTTTCCTGTAATGAAATGAATGAGTTGAATAACACGAATAATTTACTAATTACTACCTAAACTTACCACGTGCCAAATCCAGAATGAAATTTTCAGTCATTCAGGAAGTTATTGCTGTGTCAAAACTTTGACATACGGTATTAGCTCAACGTTTGACATATGTGATTGGGCGAATTGCGAGCCTTCATAAGAGTAGGGCAAGCAGCACCATCTGGTTGTCAGGTGCACAACTTGATAATAAACGGCGAGAAAAAAAAATTCATTTTGTGGTGCATGCTATACAGTGTTGCCAGGTGATTGTATTGAGAAAGCGTCAGTTTGGTTATCAAAAAAACGCCTTTTGCATGTAAAAATCGTCAACATGTAATAAAAATTTTTAATAAACTGCACCAGGAAGCCTCTGGATTTTTTTTCATTTATGCTAGCTTCTGATGATGTATGTAAGAATAAAAAGTTTTACGTTTTTTTTACGAATTTAAAAATTCGCATTTCTTTAACAAAAATACTTTAATTGGAATCAAATCACAGGTTTATCGTCTTTTTTTTGTTCTCAAACTGCAACTTAACTATATGCATTAAAAACTGTACATACTCACTTAGGTCTACCTGGCAACACTGATGTACTATTTACTGGCTTAGCCCGGTCTC